ATTTTAACATCCGAAAAAGGACCCCCGAAATTTTTAAACAAAGAAATCCATGATTAATAATACCGGGTTTATGGGTTAGCGAGATACGACAGTGGCGATAGAAAAAAAAGCTTTAACTCAATAGAAATGTATACACTTAATGGCTAAATTATATTCTAATTAATAAACAGATTCATAAAGATGTATAAATCCTAGAAGGCTTAAAGGAAGAACCATAAAACACTATAGAAAAAGCCTAAAATGTTGCGCATAAATCGAGGAATTTTATGTACTAAGGTAAAACCGAAAGTTCGAAAACGGGGAAATCCGCACCTAAAAATCCGGAGATGGGGAAAATTCCAAAAAGAATCCTATGAATCGTTAGTTATTCCCAGGCTCCGGGAACCGTGGAAATAACTGAATTAACAAAAATGTAAAAGATACTAATCCTAATACTAACATTATCTAGTCAATAATCATTCATATATTTATATTAACAAGTATCTATTGGATATTAGGTATGATCCTATTTTAAATATAATCATTGTACTGGAATCGGCAAGAACACAAAAAGCACCCAGCATAACCTTAAGATGAACTCTTATTACTCACTTCCGTGGGGATTGACACCGAGCTACAGTTGGCATTTTCATCCCAAGTCTTCAGCAGTTCGAGTCTTTCGGTGCAGAAATCGCGTGATTTGTTGCTCACGCACAGCACGATTTCCGTCAGTTGCTTGAAACACAAAAGATAATTTAAGTAAGTGTTTATATATCTATATTTTCTTCTAATATATTTAATTTTGAATGATAATACAACAACGTTTCACTGACTTGCCATTAATGAAACAAGTCATTCATTAAATTGTCCTTTGTTTACGGGTCCTCACCTCGGTAGCACTAGAGCTGGTGGAGTTCGCGGCACATTCCTCTACGGATGATTGGATGCTGGCAATCGCCTGTGGCAATGAAGTTCATTAGATACCCCTATCAGTATCACAGTATTTTAAACAACTCTTACTTTATTCTATTGTCTCTAATTTTGTCTCATTTTGTTCAAAGAACCCCTCCACCCGCCATCCCAAAGCCCGCGAACAAACCTCAAAGTCATATCCTTCGAATTCACTCAACTTGAGAACGGCCTGTTCGACATCGAGAGTTCCGTTTTCCATCTCGAGGTTCATTTTCTCCACCAGACACTCTACTATCCCTTCAAATCCATTTCGCAAGTCTGCTGAGACAATGGGTCTGCGTTAGCCATGGGGACAGGAATGATTTAGGCTGTACGGTACAGAAATAGTATCTATAAAACATGATTAGAGAGGGACGATCCAACACATTCCGTGCACCTCATGAAAACGAAATAGCAAGAAAGTGACATAATGCATGTTGTAAAATAACAAAAATCTGAGTAAAACATCCAAATAATATTATATTACTGCAAGAATAGGAAACCTCTACGAAGCTACAGACATTCGAAAAGAATATCCAGGAAACACTTCAGTTTAAAAAGGTCGATATATAAAATTATTACTAATTAATATCTTTAACATGTAATTTATGTACAATCACAACCACCAAATGTAGTTTAAGAAGTACTGAATTAAGTGCGACACATACCTGATTGACCATTTCTGAAGCGATATTTGCGGAGGTTCTGTCGAAACAGATATGCCATTATTATTATTATTATTATTATTATTATTATTATCATTATCAGTATTATTGTTATTATTAGTATTATCAATATCATTATTACTATTATCAATATCATTATCAATATTGATAATAATAATGATAATGATAATAATGATAATAATAATAATAATAATAATAATAATAATAATTATTATTATTATTATTATCACCATCATCATCATCGTCACATCATCAATATCTTCAGTATTACTATCATTATCATTACTGTCATAATTGTAATCATCACCATTATCATCACTATCATAATCATCACAGAAAATCAATAAAAATGAGTTTAAAAAAAATAAAATTATATATTGATCACGTAGACGAAGAAGGCAATAAAATCGGAAACAAAAGAATAAGAATAAGACGAATAGAGGAAAGGAGATAAAGATAATAATAATAATGATAATAATAATAATGATAATAATAATAATAATAATAATAATATAATAATAATAATAATGATAATAATAATAATGATAATAATAATAATAATAATAATAATAATAATAATAATAATAATAATAATAATAATAATAATAATAATAATAATATAATAATAATAATAATAATAATAATAATAATAATAATAATAATAATAATAATAATAATAATAATAATAATAATAATAATATAATAATAATAATAATAATATAATAATAATAATAATAATAATTATTATTATTATTAGTATTATCAATATCATTATTACTATTATCAATATCATTATTACTATTATCAATATCATTATTACTATTATCAATATCATTATTACTATTATCAATATCATTATTACTATTATCAATATCATTATTACTATTATCAATATCATTATTACTATTATCAATATCATTATTACTATTATCAATATCATTATCAATATTGAATTTACTTTAAAACAAATGGGGGAGAAACGGAGAAAAAGTAGTAATATAAATATGTAAGGAAAAGAGACATTAATAAAATGGATAACAAGAGGGTGAAGAGGAAAACAAAACAAAGATAAGTATAAAGGGGCAAACAAGGATGCATGAGAAGGATGGATAATAAGAAGGAAAGGAAGAGGGAATGAGAAATAGTAAGACAGAGGAAAACGAAGAAGAAAAAAATAAACTAAATGAATAAAGAAGAAGAACAAGAGAAGAAAAAGAAAAGAAAGAGAAAGAAATCATGAAATCGAAAGGAAGTATGAAGAAGAAGAGGAAGAAAAGGATGGAAGCAGAAAAAAAGGGGAAAAAATATAGACTACAGAAAAAAGGAAGAAGAAAAAAAGATGAATGGGAAGAAGGAGAAGAAGAGGATAAAAATTGAAAGTTAAAATAAAAGTAAACATAAAACAATAAAGAAAAAGAAAAAAAGAAGAAAAATGAATAGAAATTAGGAAGAAATGGAAGAAGAAAAGAAAAAGGAAAGACAGAAACGAAAAAAGGAAGAAGGAGGAGGAGGAGAAGAAGAAGAAGAAGAAGAAGAAGAAGAAGAAGAAGAAGAAGAAGAAGAAGAAGAAGAAGAAGAAGAAGAAGAAGAAGAAGGAAAAGAAAAAGAAGAAGAACAACAAGAAGAAAACCACGAAAGAGAAAAAAAAGAGAAAGAAAGACGAAGAACACACTAAAAGGGAAAATAGTAACGATCCAAAAGGGAGCAACCTCACCTCCTTGAAGCATGCCTTGAGCTCCTCGCCTTGCGGCATCAGGCCTCGCACGCACGGAGGCAGGCGTCCGCGGTGGAAGTGTCTGCCCCTCCGCAATGCCCCCATCAGGTTGCATTCTCCTGCGGGAAGCGTCGTTAGCGGTGGGTGTCTAGCGTGGCTTCGTTAGTTGTGTTAATGTTGTTATTATCATATGTTAGTATTATTATTTTTATTTTTATTATTATTATTGTTATTTTTATTATTATTGTTGTTGTTTTTATTATTATTGTTATTATTATTATTATTATTATTATTATTATTATTATTATTATTTATCTTTACCATTGTTATAATTGTTATTGCTATTACTTTTTTTATTATTATTCTAGCCATTATTATCATTATTATTATTATTATCATTATTATCATTGTTATTAATATTACTATCATAATCTTGATTTATAATATTATTATTTTTGCTTTTATAATTGTTACTGTTATTTTAATCATTATCATTATGAATGTTTTGTTATTATCATCATGACTTGATTTTCTTTATTTATTTTACGAGAGCGTGCAAGTTACGTGTAATATGTGTATGGCTATGTATATGTATACACTCATGTATGTAATACATATGTATGTTTGTGTTTATACTTTGTATGTATGCATATGAATATACTGCATGGGAGGCGCATGAAAGGGTTGGCCAACGCCAGGGAGTGATCATGAACTACGGAAGGGGGAGGGTGGGGTGGGGACAGTGAGGGTGGAGGACCCATACAGCCGCGTAATGAGGGAGGGTGACTCACCGTGAGGGAGGGCAGCAGCGACCCCCGCCAGGAAGACCAGCAACGCCACAGTCTTCATGTTTGATTCTGATGAAGGAAAACTCAGCTTAATTGGTGGATATAAGCTTTTTTGTCACACACACACACACACATACACAGACATACACACACACACACACATACATACACACACACACACACACACACACACACACACACACACACAAACACACACACACACACACATGCACACACGAACGCACATATTATATGTATGTCGGTGCGTGTGCGTGTCTGCTTTTTAGAATATCCATAGAGCATTTTTTTTCGATTCAGGTTTTCTACCGACCGAGATATTACTAAAATTAAATTAATACACTTGGTACTGTGAATTATATTCATCTAGCCAATGCTGTGGCCAACAGAGAAATTAGAATTATCGTTCTTACATATAGATCATAACAAGGGAAATCAGTGTTTAACCCCGTTATTAAAGACCGATGGTTGAGATTTTTTTTAGCTTCTCTGAAATATAAGATCTAAAATTACTTAGTGATTTACTGTAGATGTTTCAAAGACGCATTAAGGTAGAGAAGATATTATACATCATACTCTAAGAGAAACAACATTTAATGAAAAGAAGAATAAAAGTAAAGTTTGGAGGAAAATGAAACAAAGATAAGAAGGTAACATTAACACAGTGGTTTGACGAAAGAAGAAATGTAGATGTTCTTGGAGGGTCATTTGCGTCCGTTTTTTACAGAGAAACGCAAGAAAGCATCCGAAGATGTATTTAATATCATGTGGAAAATGTAAAGGACTCAAGACACAGGAGACCACTTCATATTTCCAAAAGTGACATAACAGGTAGTCAAAGACACCAGCAACTGTTAGAATTACTACTGTTGGAAAGGAAAAATAATGCTAAGCTCGTTTTTGGAAGGTAAAAGTATATCCTATTTGTTTTAGATCTAAACATTTACTCTTTAAGAAATATATCGATACAGGGAAGGTTCGAAGATGGAGAGAGAAATTCTTTCTTTCGTGGACAGACAATTCTCGAGGCCACTCGCAAAACCGCCTATTGCCTGATATGATAGAGATAAACGTTCATGAATTCAAGTGATCATTTTCTCAGAAATGGCCAGTGGGTGACAAATGAATCGCACACAAAGGGCAGTCAGAATGCATAAACTGTATTAAGTAATGTATGTCATATTTATGGTATTATGAAAACTAAATTTACACCGGTACAATAACCTGTGGCCAGGGCCGGACTATGACCTTTTGGGGCCCCTAGGCTAATGAAATTATGGGGCCCCCTCAGAATATTTTTTACTCGTGATATATTTTAGTGACATTTACATAGGTTGAAGTAAACTTATTACAAATTCTTTAAATAAACTAGCATAGCTATCTTTCGTTTGTCAATGAAAGTATTCTTTAAATACCACTATTTTACTATATTTCAACACAACCTTAGTGAAAAAAACAGATTTTTTATAACCAAGCCCCTCAAACTTGGGGGCCCAAAGCTTGAGGGGCCCTAGGCTGCAGCCTATACTAGCCTATAGGATAATCCGACCCTGCCAGAGGTACAAACGCAATTATTGTGGTAAAATGTAAGAATTTAGAAAATAAATACAAGGTAGACAGAAAAATAAATGGTTGTTAACCAAATTAGCAGGGACACGTATTTACATTTATAAAGATTAAGATATATAATATACTAAAGATTGTATACTAAATTTTGTGAAACACGTAGCTTTCCTCAGGATAGTCGTTTAGATTTAACGATAAAGATACTAAATAAAAAACAACAACATTAGTATCCCGCATTTCGTAAATACAGAATATCATTTTATCTAACAGGATATAAATTCAAAGTTTATGTTGATATACGGAACACACCTCGAAATAAACCTGTACGAGAAAAGGGATTATATATTTTTTCTTCTCGCGGTGTTCTAAAGCTTAAATATTTCCTACTGAACGATGTCAATCAACTCACGGTTTGGGCGCAGCAGCTTCGTTCCAGGCAGAATGCTGCAAGAATGACAAAAACACTGCAGCTCCCTCTATATATACCCAGACATAATGACACCAGAACGTTGCCGCTTACCCTTTTTTCTTGGGCCATTGACCGATCGTAATCAACCGAATTTCCACCGATAACTTGTATTTTAGTCATTCGCAACACGATGATCAAGCAACTTCGTTAATCGCACCGTGACGGCGATATCAAGGAGTGATTTCGTAAAGTGCTAGAAATTAGTGTGCTTTCTAGGACGTGTTTTTTTTTAGATCTATTTTTTTATCTTTTCTTTGTTCTTTTTTATAAATCATTGACCCAAGTGGTGTAGTATCTCTGTCCTGAAACTGACTTTAAAGATTCATTCTCCTTCTTTATCAATCGATTCATGTATCTTATTTATACGTGTTTATTCATCTTTTAATAAGGAGAAAAGGAGGAAAAAAAAGAGAGAGGAAATTAGAGATAATGGAAATGATTATGGTAATAGAATTAATCAAAATAGCTAATGAGAAAGGATAGAAAAAAAAAAATAAAAAGAGAACAACAACAAAATCAGAAATTAGGCTCAAGGACAGTCCCAAACACGACAAAAACAATATAGACATAAAAAGCGCAAGAAAAGTATTGACATCACGAGAGAAGGAAAAATATTGACATCACAAGAGAAGAAAATATATTGATATCAAAAGCGAAGAAAAAAAATATAGACAACAAAAGTCGCAGAAAAAAATATAGACATAAAAAACGCAAGAAAAATCTTGACATCACAAGAAACGGAAAATATTGATATCAAAAGCGCAGAAAAAAATATAGACATCACAAGAGAAGGAAAATATCGACATCAAAAGCGCAGGGAAAATATTGACATCACAAGAAACGGAAAATATTGATATCAAAAGCGCAGGAAAGGATATACAGAATCGAAGAGAATGAGGCGCTGGCGGGAACGGGGAAAAACGGACATCGGAAGGGAAGAAAGAAACAAAAACAAAAAGAAGGAAAAATAGAAAGGAAGTGGTAAAAGAAAGAGATGAAGGAAAATAAAAGAGGGAGAGAGAGAACAAAATGAAAAAGAATAGAATGAAAAGAGGAAAAGAAGAAAGCAAAGAAAGTAAGAAAAAGAAGAAAAAAGAAAAAAGAAGTGTAGAAGAAAAAGAAAAAAAAAAGTAAAAAGTAATAAAATGAAATAGAAAAAGAAAGAGGAAGGGGAATATGAAAAGAAAAAGAAAATGAAAAAGAAAGTAGAGAGAAGAAAGAAAGAAAGAAAAAACGAAGAAAAAATGAATAATAAAAAGAAAAGGAATTAGAAAGGGAAAAAAACAAGAAGAAGATGGAGAAGAATAAGAATAAGAAGAAAAAATAAAA